GGGCAGGGCAGGGCAGGGCAGGGCAGGGCCGCGCGGCGGACCTCGGGGGGAGGCCAGGCTCGCACCCACAGGAAAGCCGGGTGAACGCGGCCCTCTGGGACGGGAGCCCCCGCGGGGCCGCATGCACCTGAGCTCCGGCTTCTCCCTCCCGCGCCCGCGCCTGCGCCGCACTCCCGCTTTGGCCCCAGACGCCGGGCCAGTGCCCGGGGCTGCGCGCACCTGCGCCCCTGCCCTTGGCCCCTGCGCGCCGACTCTCTTGCGGCCTTTGACTTGTGGGACGATTGTTCCCAGACCTGGGGCTGTTTCCCCGGTCATCAGCGACCTACTTTGCCTGGGGGCCGCCGAGCTCTGCCGAAAGGAGCCCTAGATGCAAGTTGCGGTGGGAGAGCTGGGGGTTGTTTGGGGTTTGGGGGGTTTTTTTTTGGTTTTTTGGAAGGATTGAACCTAGATTTCTCGAGCGAACAATTCCTTACACGCCTTTATCAGTGCGCTGCTGTGCAGTAGAATTAATCTGCTCCGCATTAGCGTCACTAAAGAACCGTGCGCCCGCGCTCCGGTACAGTTGCACTGGTTACTGCGTTCATTAAAACAACAAAATGTCTGCTTTGGCCTCCTGCACCCCTAGGAATGGAACCGAGGGAGAGGGTCCATTCAGCACAAATCGGATTTCTTTGAGGCCCTCCCTGCCTTGTTTCTTGTTTCGTATTTTAAAATTCTCTTAACATCACCGGGGCCAAGATTTGCTCCTTCTGCCCCCGCTGCTCCCCTCGCGCTGATTAATACTGAGCCCCTCGATGAGAATCACTGCATTTCCCAGCTGGGGGGAGAGGGGATAATAATACTGGGGGTCTTTTCTGGTCTTGAATGACTACAACAGAACTCTCTTTACTAGAGCAAAACGGCGCAGTGAATTCGGCTCGGCCAGCCGGTGTAAACGGGGGCCGTTTGCTGCGTGCTCTGATCTGGGAGGCTCTTGGAAGTGTGCGCCTGCCTGCAAGCCTCTTGCTGGCTGTCCGCTGCTGGGAACCGCGCTATGGGTTTAAATACGCGCAGCGCTTCTCTGCACAGCGAAGTGACTTCGGAAATGCTCTCTGATGGCTGGAGCATCAGAAACGCAGCATCAGCCCGAGGGCAACGACTGTTTAAAAAAAAAAAA